CTGTGTCTAAGTTCCCTGGCTGACAAGGAGACGGTGACTTCTGGTGCTGCCCTAAACTGCCCCGCAGGTCTCTGGAGGTGCCTGGGTGGAGGTGGATGAAGTGTCAGTCACCCTGCTAGACTGGGTGTTCTCCCTGTGGGACAAGGCTATTGAAACAGTTGTTCTGGATAGTCAGGGGTCATAATAACCAGCAGGAAAAAAAAATCAGAGCAGCACACACACGGGCAGCACGCACTGCTCAGAAGCAGAGCCAGGCCGCCTGGAGCTGTACTGCAGCTGCTGGCCAGGCCCTGCGCGGTAGAATCACTGCTGCTGCAGCCCTGGGAGGCCCCCAGAACCCCACACAAGGCTGCTGGGACCAGCCCAGTGCCCAGGGCCAGCCTCCCCTACCCCACCTGGGGTAACTTGCCATGCCCCAAAGTACACGTGGCACAGATGTTCCCTGGGGACAAGCGGTGGCAGCGCAAGGTCCACTGCCGCCACTTGTCCCAGGGGAACCAAACGTCCACGCTTGTCTAGACGTGCCCTCTGCCTTTAACTTATGAATCCTGCTGTGACACTGAAGAGTGTGTGGTACTCCAGAGAACACGTGATAGCTCTCAAGGCAGCCCTGGCTGAGAATCACTGTTCTAGAGTCTTGGTCCAATTTGTGTGGAGGGTTGTCAATACTTATGTTATTAGTATGATGTACTTTTCTGGTGCTTTCTTTGCTGATATTTTTTATCACGGTGGTGGAAGCTAAAAGGCATTTGGGAGCACCGCCCTGGTGAACATGAACTTTACCTGCTGAAGATCTGTATTTTAGATGTTTGTTCCAATTCCTTGGGAGGGTTTGAGGATACTTATATTTTATTAGCACGGTATCCTTTTCACTCCATTTCCACTGAAAACCTTCCCTTGGGATCTGGTCAAATGCTCTGTCTCTCTGAAAACCACAAGCAGCAGTTATTCTTCCACAGTGCTTTTCTTGGAGTCTGAAGATCTCTTGTACCTAGGACATCCCAGGGGAAGGGGCAAATCAGGGCAACTGTCCCAGACCCTGTGCTTTGGGGGGCCCCGTGGAGCCAGGCTGAGAGGCTGTGGCAACTCTGAGCTGCTGTCGGCTTCATGTCTGGCTGCTCGGCAACAACCCCGCTCCCCCCAGTGCCAAATCCACCGCCGAATCCAGCATGTCCGGCCGCTTGGCACCCCCCGCTCCCAACGCTGAATCCGCCACCAGCTTCCTTGTGTCCAAGGGCAGGGCCCCGCACCCTGCTTGGGTCGCCTCTGCTTGCACCCTTTTCATTTTCTGAAACCAAACTGATTGTAACTGATGGACTGGTTTCTCCAATAACATTTCCCAAGTTTTTCAAAGAATGCTGAATTTTCCTATTGCTGGGTTTTTGGTTGTAGCCATGTTGGTTTAAGACATAGGCAGGACAGGCTCTTTGAGTAGATGTGATAACTTTTATTAGACCAACTGAGTAGTTGGAAAAAAAAGTTCTTTGCAAGCTTTCAGGTGCAGTCACCCTTCTTCAGGCCTAGGGAGCCTCTGGTGTTCTGAGACTCCAAGGAATGAGAGCAGCTAAAAGTGTGACAGGACCTCAGTGAGAATGTAAATAGTTGGAAATTAGGAAAACAAAAGGTAGAGCAGGGAAGGGCGGGGGGAAGGTGTGTAAGGGAGACTCTCTACAGCAGTAATTCAAAGTAGAAAAGAGGCTGACTTTGAAAAAAGAAATAGCTGGAAATTAGGAAGTCAAAAGGCAGAAAAGGAGGGGAGAGGTGGGGAGGAAAGGGGAGGGGGGAAAGAAAAGCGTAAGAGGTCAGGTCTGGCAGGTATCTGGTAAATCAGATGTCAGGCAGGTTGTAATGTGAGAATCCCATCTCTATATTGAGTCCATGATTTGCTGTACCCAGTAGACATATGAAGTGAAGTTCGTAGGCTCATCTACGAAAGGTGTTTTGTAGAGGAAAGGGAACTTACAAAACACCTCACAAGGGTCCCATGTTCCCAGTATGTGAGACTCTGGATTGCAGAATTAAGGATATTTACAGCTGGGGAAGCATTCGCTGCTCTCTGTTCTGATTCTCACCTCTCCTCATCCCCATACAGCCTCTTTCCCGGACGTGCTTATGCCCACGTTGTCACCTCCCCATGCCCAATAATGCAGGTTTTGCTCTTCAATCTCTTTCCACAAAGCTTCACCATGAGGTGCTTGCTGCTTTCCTCACCCTGCTTTCTCCTGCCCTACTGTTTATAATGCTTCTGCTCATCATGCCTCAAAATGAACATGGCATCCCTATGGTGGTTCTCTTTCTTTGTGATGTGGGAATGGACTGGGGACCAGAGCCCCTTTTAAGGTCCAAGGACACTGATTTCCCAGCTCCTTCCTCTTCCACTGGAATCACCAAGATCCAGGGCTCGTTCGCACTAACTGACAACACTGGTGGGGCCATGGAAACAGCAAGTGATGCTGTTACCCAGGACATGACCTCACAGCCCCAGGAGTCATGGGGTTCATCCTGGCTAGCACATACAGCTGGGGCTGGGTTGCAGAGGCATTGAGGAGACAGGAGAAAGCCTGGGTGCATAGAACAAGAGCCCCTCTGCAGTCACATCCAGGTTGGATTGGGACTATGAAGGTGGGGGGGTCACTGTGCAGGTGTTCCCATCATTGAAGCCAGAGGCTGGGTCTCCTTTGGATGCTTAAAAAGTTAATTGCTGAATGTCCTGCTTCCCCTTCCCCCCTCCTCCCAAGACTTTCTCGATAGTCAGGCCTGTCCTGGCATGTAACAAGCAAAGTAATGAACCACAGAGGCAGCCTGGGAGTTCCCTAAGACAAATCGATTGAGAACTGATTAACAGATATTCCTTTTATTAAGTATCTCATCTAAACTGGTTCTCCCATGGGAGCGGGGGACCTGCCTGGTTGATAAAGAAACAAGATATTCAAGAACAGTAAAAAAACAGATAACAAAGGTAATGTCCCAAATGCCACGGGTAGAAATTGGAAGGGATCACCTTGATACCCAAACGTAATGGCCTAGGACTGGATGGTTTCAGAAAGGATCTTTTTAAAAGGCAACTTTGGTTTTGTGTCCCCCCAGCTTTTATCCTCTCTGCTACCTGGCTCCATCACTTAGCTCTAACTGTTGTCTTCTCTGCCCAGCTGCCACCAGAAGCTACCACAACATCCCACTTGGGACATTTCACATGGAAACAGAAGGGAGCTTTGGATGTTACAATCCAGGGGCAGGACTCTCACTCCCACTGCCCAGGGAGGATGTGGGAAACAGATCCCCATTCAGTACAATGATCCTGCTCTTATGGGTTCGCTGCTCAGAGCTCTGCCAGAAACACTTCTGGCACTGGGCACAGCGGTATGGTTTCATTTCTGTGTGCACATGCCAGTGCTTGATGAGCGATGACCTGTCAGTGAAGCTCTTCTCACACTGAGCACAGGAGAATGGCTTTTCCCCTGTGTACACATGGAAGTGTGCTGTGAGTGTGTACCTCTGCATGAAGCTGTGCAAGAAAATGGCTTCTTTCCCATGTGCACGTGACTCATGGGTTTTGAACTCTAGCTGATGCGCTTCTCACACTGGGTGCAAGAGAACGGCTTCTCCCCTGTGAGCACATGCAGGTCGCTGGTGATTTTGGAGCTCTGAGCAAAGGTATTCCAACGCTGGCATCAGGAGGGTTTTTCCCCCATGTGTACATGCAGGTGATCAGTCAGATTGGAGCTGTGGGTGAAAATCTTCCCGCACTGGCTGCAGGAAGAGGGTTTCTCCCTGAAGTGCACATGCAGGTGATTGTTGAGACAGGAGCTCTGTGTAAAGCTCTTCCCACACTGGGTGCAAGAAAACGGCTTCTCCCCCCGTATGTACATGCAGGTGGTTTGTGTCAGTCTGTGAGTGAAGCTCTTCCCACATTGACTGCAAGAGAAGGGTTTCTTCCCTGTGTGTACATGCAGATGATTGGTGAATTTGGAGCTCTTGCTGAAGTCTTCCCACACTGCCTGCAGAAGAATGACTTCTCCCCCATGTGCCCACACTGGTGCTATGTGAGGCTGGAGCTCTGGGTGAAACTCTTCCCACAGTGGGCAGAATGGTTTGTCCCCAACATGCACGCATGTGTGGCTTCGGAGGTGATCCCACCTGGTGCAGCTCTTCTTGCACACAACACAGTGGCACAGCTGCTCCCCCATGTGCATGCCCTGGTGCACTTGGAGGTCATGCAGGGAGACAAAAGCTCTTCCCACACTGGGCAGAAGTGCGGGTGCTCCCCCACGTATGTCCTCTGGTGTCCGAGAGGGCATGGATGGTAGGCCTGTGCAAAGCAGCAGTATTCGCTTCTGATTCGATGGGACAGTGATTCGATTTGGCCGATTTGGATTTGGAGATTCGGCCATAGGCTATAATGGGGAATCACTAAAATACCTATAACTTGGTCATTTTTTTGCAGATTCGAATGAAAACAGCAGGGATGGCAGCCCCTTCTGAAACATGAAGCCTGCCAAGTTTCGCAGAGGTTTCTGTGAAAGTGCACCTCAAGATTCTGAAAGCACATAGGTGCAGAGCGAGGAGGGTGGCACTCACTCTGTCTGCACGTGGAGCTTGGGGAATCCCAGAAGTGGGAGGTTCACCTTTAGGAACACTAGCTGCTCCACAAAACCAGGATCCAAGGAGGCGGAGGGGGATGTCACATCATCAGCAACACTGAACAACCTCTCACTTGCAACACTGGTTGGTGGGCAGGACAGGTATTCCCTGGCAACCATGGCCAGATCCTGCCACACCTGACAGCGGGCTACCCAATAGGCCAAGGGGTCACAATGCAGCGGCTCCACCTCCTCCGCGAGATAGGCAGCCACCGAGGCCTCTGCACTACATGCCTGATGGTGGAGTCTGGTGCCTCTGGACCCCAACATTGAAGCCATGCCCTTAGCCCACATTGGCAGCGGCTGTGGTGAAGGAGATTGGCTCGTGGTTGGAGTGCTGGCACGGGAAAGTGGATCCCCCTCTTTCCTTTCCCCCTGCCTCTGCCCTTCTGCCTCCCTGACTCTGTTCACCAGCACCTCTGTCCAGTGATCGAGGGTCTTGCTGCTGCAGACATTCCCCTTCACCCTCGGGTCGCACATACCCGCCAGCACGTGGACCGTACTGGACTGCAATGGATCCAGCTGTTTTTTGATGCCCTCCTTCAACTGCTTCACCAGTACCTGCACCTCTGGTGAAAGTGGCTTGCCCCACCCAGGAACATCAATACCATGCAGCTTCTCCAATTCATTCTCAAGCTCCTTCGCTACGGGGATCACCTGGCTAAGGAGGGCATCGACAGCGCTGAGGCTCTCTGTGGCCTCGAGGAACGGTTTAAGGATCACCAAGATCTGGGAAATGGTATCCCATTCTGTTTTGTTAAGAGGGCCACTGAGCCCAATCTCCCTGTCCAAGGCTACCTCTTGAATGGCCTTCTGTTGCTCGACCAGCCTTTCCAGCATCAGGTATGTGGAGTTCCATCGAGTCTCCACATCCTGAATGATTTTCTGTTGCGGGATGTTGAGCTCTACCTGTTTGTCCCGCAACATCTTGCCCCCCTTAATGCTGCGGTGGAAGTAGCCCGCCACCTTCCTGCATTTTGAAATGAGATGCTTGGTGGTGCTGGCACCATCACCAGCAGCCCCATCCCCCTCCAAGGCATCCCTGACAATGAGGTGCAATTTGTGTGCCACACAGGGAATGCCAACAAAGTTGGCATCATGCACCGCCTTGACCATATTGGCCCCATTGTTGGTGACCATGAACCCCCGGCTGAGCCCGCCAGGCCCAACGAGCCACCCCTGCACCATGCGGTTCATAGCCACCATGATCTCCATTGCCGTGTGGGACTCATCCATCATCTCCGCTTGAAGGAGAGCCCACCGACGCCCTGACTGATCACACCAGTGCCCTGTGATGGAGAGGTAGGCATGATCACCCTGGCTGCTCCAGATGTCCGAGGTGAAGTGCAAGGCTACCTGCGGGTCTGCCTTCCGCAGCTCCTCCCGCAAGTACTCCCTGCATGCCTCATACAGGGAGAGCACCGCCGTCCTGCTAAAGGTGGTACATGTGGGCACTTGGTAGGATGGGGCCAAGAGCGCCATGAGCCGTCTGAACCCTGGACGCTCAACAAAGGAGAAGGGCTGGCCATCCAGAGCAAGCATCTCCCCAATGCTCTGGGTGAGCCTGCTTGCCTTCGGAACGAGACCCCCCTTGTCTCCACCTTTCCCCCACTGGTCCAGGGTGGCCTGCCCCTGCTTCTTGGGGACGGGGGCTTTGGAGCAAGAGGGGGACTTCTTTTTGGGCACGCTCCCACTAGCACCAGGAGGAAGAAGAAGGGGGTGGTGCCTGCGGAGATGCAGCAGCATCCCTGTGGTGGTGAGGTGTTTCTCGTCCTTACCCCGGCTGGTCTTACATTGACAGTGCAGGCAGATAGCATATGTGGGATCTTCTGCCACCTCAAAATGATCCCACACTACACTACCCCCTCGCTTCTGGGGTGCGGGTGCATGTGCAGATCCTGCCTTTTCCCCCTCCTCACCAGGCAGAGGCACAACAACAGGAGGAGCTGAGCCACCTGCCCCCATAACCTCTTCCCAGGTGCCTTCCAGAGGAGGAGACCTGCCTCTAGAGGAGCTTTGAGGGGTGTGGAGCTGTGCAAGCCTTCCGAATCTCCCTGAATCAATTCGGAGGCTTCCGATTCGATTTGGACCTTTTAAAGGGTCAGTCGATTCGATTCGGAGATTTGGCCGCCGAATCGGGCCGAATCTCCTCCGAATCGAATCGGCTACTGAAGCTTCACACAGCCCTAATGAATGGTGAAAGCTGTCCCCATGCTCAGTACACGGCTGGATATTTTCCCTCCAGGGAGTTCCCCTCTGGGCCCCAAGTTCCTCTTTTTCCCAAAAGCTCTCACCGGGTTCTCCACATATATGCAGCCCCTGCCTGCAGGGAACCATGCCATTGGGGGTCTTCAGGTCTCTCTGCCCTTCAAATCCTTCCAAGTTCCTTTCAGTCTCTGCTGTTCTCTGTCCCTGTCGGGTGAGGAGCTGGTTTCTGGACTGAAACAGCTTCAGGTTGGCAGGCCCTTCCTCACGAGGCTGCTGCTGCTCAGCTCTGCCCAGTGTCTCAGCATCTGCTGGGTGGAGATGGGACCCCAAAAATTAGTGTCAGTCCAGCTGGTAAAGGGAAAGATCTGCTATTCCCCCATGCTATTGGATATGCATCTAGCTGGAATCATCTAGACCCAGCCCTCTTTCCTGCCTATGCAGCGGGTCGGACTCGATGATCTATTGAGGTCCCTTCCGACCCTAGCATCTATGAATCTATGCTGGGATGTGCCCCAGATGCTGGATGGGCTTTGGTTCCTCAGTAAGAACAAGGAGTCCAACTCCACATGGACTCTTGGTCTCTGGTCTCACAGCTTGTATCTTTTGTGCCCCAGTTATGGAGCAGAACATGGGCAATTTTGGTGGAAACAAGGAAGCGTTTGTATTCCCCTAAACATGAACTCCTGTGAATCCCAACTGCATCTAGCAGGCATTTCATAAAACTGAAAGTATTGACTGAACACTGCTTTTATTCCTCTGACTGTTACAGAGGGGAGGAGCAGAGTTTCAGTTCAAATTAAACAACAGGACTAGTAGCAGTAGGGACTAGTAGCAGTGGGTAGCAGAGCATCAGCCTCTCTGTAGCCTAATCCTTAGCAGCACCCACAGGGTTTCTGCCAACTCTGATAGCTACCACGGGGCAAGTCAAACAAGATCATGCCCTGCCAGAGTGCATAGCACAGGTATAGCCAACTTGGGCTGCGCTATTAACTCATACATTGCTGAGGGAAGATAGAAACAAAAGCTCATGGTACCTCAGGGCTACCAGATTTTGTGTCAGATCAGGACAGCGGATTAGGTGTTGTCCCTAGCATTTTACTACTTCCCTATAGATGGCTCCTCCCTTCCATGACAGAAACCCTTGCCAAAATTCTGCCTCAGAAGACAATCTGAAGGGCTGAAGGTGGATTTCCTATCTAAACAATCCTAAAGAGGGGAAGAATAAGGGATCAGTTGCCTGTCCCTGCATCACTAAAATGCAAGAAGTGGATACACATGCCTGCCTGGACAAAATATGTCTGACTAAGCTGCGTGAAGTTGGGACCTGGTGGGAGCAGCTCAAGGCAAGTGTTCAGGTTTCCAGTTCCCCATGGGTATTGAGAAGTTCTGAGCTGAGATGTAAGTGGAAGGGCATTAGAGATTTTCAAGACTCACCTTGCGACAAGTCCTCAGACAACAAGCTTTCTTCAGCCTCCTCATCATCACGGACCCAGCGCTTCATCTCCCCTCGCTGGATGTGGCAGATTAGGTCTGGTGTGGGACCTCCTGTGTTGGGGAGTGTACAGAGGGTGGTTATTCCACCATCCACTGCTCTATTGGGACTGGGAAAAAGGATCCAGTGGACTCAAATATTCTAACAGGCAGAAAGGAGGACACTTAGGAAGGACATTTCAGCTGGTGTGGGAGCCACATATTCCCTTCTGGGAAGTATATAAATCAACGGTGGGCAAAATACAGCCCACAGGCCATATCCAGTCTGCCAACTCATTCTATCCAGTCTGCGGTGCCAGCAGAGGCTGGAGCCGGAGCTGCTGCCTGCTCACCACCAGACAGAATCAATTGGCAGGCCTGTGGATGGTGGCTACAGGTCCGGCCTCTGCTGATGCAGCAGGGGACAGTGGATGGAAGCAGACCCACCCCCCTGCCTGACCTAACATGGCAGCCTGGAAGACAGAGTCTGACCCCATGGTACAGAATGGGCTGGTGGGCAGGGCTGCTTCCATCCAGGGATCCCTTAGGTGCCAGCAGATGCTGAAGCTTCAGCCACCTACCTAGCACAGCACGACAGGAAATGCAGGCTAGAGTGGTAACTGAACCCCTGGTCCTGCCTCCCCCCAGTCAGGGTCTGCACAGTGGCTGGAGGGTGTGGAGGGGAATGCAAAGAGGTGGGGGCATTCCCTCCACCCCCTCTGCAGCCTGGCTCCTCACTTCTATAAAAACAATAGCCTGATGGCCACATGGCTCTCAGCCCTATTCCTGGTGGGGTCAGCCAAGCCAAGCCAAGCAGCATGGGATGGGGTGGGGGTAAGGAGCGGAGATAAGATGCTACGGTCCCGGGCAGGCTAATGCTCCTGCTTCAGCTTTGGTGCCAGCTTCAGCCCAGCTGCAAGGAGCACGTGTGAGAGCGAGCGTGTGCGAGAACGAGTGAACATACATTGCTCCAGGGGATGAGGGTGGCTTCTGGGGGTAGGTGTGGGGGTGGGGGCAGGACAAGCAAGGTGCTGAACC